GCACCCAGTGCTCTTTGCTCCCAGGTATTCATGCCCTTGGATAACCCCCCTCTGTGGATCCATGCTGGCCTGGTGACTGGCTTCTAAGGACCAGAATACTGTAAATACTGTGAATGTAACGGGATGTCATGACTGACATGGGCATATGATCCATCTTGTTCACTCGCTCTCCTTGTCTTACTTGCTCTCAAGGAAGCCAGTTTTCATTTTGGGAGCTACCCTGAGAAAGGGCTGCATGGCAAGGAGCTGTGTGGCCTCCCACCAACAATGAACAACTGAGACCCTCAGTCCAGCAACCTGTGAAGACCTGAATTCTGTCAACAACCTCATGAGAGAGTCTGGGAGTATGGACTCCCCCGGTGGAGGAATGAATGCAGTCCCAGCTGAGGCCTGGACCATAGGCCCTTGAGGGAGAAGCTCCTCGGCAAGCCACGCCCAGATGCCTGACACACAGACACTGGGAAATAAGTGTTTATTGATTATGGTTGCTAAGTTTTAAGACTTTTTTGTTACCTCGCAATAGATATCTAATGCACGGGGAGAAAGGGAAAAGCTGGATTCATCAATTATATGGCCACAGTGCATAGAGAGCAAGAGATCACAGAGAACCACGTGAGGCCGCTAAAACCTTTGAATTCCGTGTATAAACCTAGCCTCTCAGTGGCCAGGCTAGGACATGGTCTTGTGATGGTCTAGAATCCTAAGCCTGCTGTTGTATGAGAGGTGGAGAACACAGTCTTTCTCCTTCTAGAAATGGCCTGCACTGCCTATCCTTTCCTTAGCCTCCATTTCCTATGTCTCTCAACACGGGCTAAAGCATGATCCACTGACACATTTCCCCAAGCCAGTTCCTCCTCCTTGAATGCCCTTCCTTCTCATCCCGACATTCTTTTTTGTTTTATTTTGTTTTGTTTTGTTGTTTTCAGAGAGGAAGGGAGAGGGAGATGACATTCTTTTTTGTTTTGTTTTGTTTTTTTCAGAGAGGAAGGGAGAGGGAGAGAGAGATAGAAACATCAATGATGAGAGAGAATCATTAATCAGCTGCCTCCTGCACATCCCACACTGGGGATCGAGTCTGCAACCCAGGCATGTGCCCTGAACGGGAATCAAACCATGACCTCCTGGTTCATAGGTTGACGCTCAACCACTGAGCCACACCAGCTGGGCCCATCCTGATATTCTTCATCTCTTACTCATTTGTCAGTTATCAGCACTGTCCCTAACGGCCTCAGATAGGCAGCTACTGCCTTCATCTGGACCACCAAAGCACCCTAAGCTTGTATCAACTACAACATCTTAGCACACTGCATTCTAACTGTTTCCCTCTGTTTCCATTGTCAGGTGGGGTCCATTCAATAGTTCCAGTGCCCTAGAATAGTGCTTGGTCCATAGTAAGATTTGGGAAATATTTGTTCAATGAAAAATGTATTCATTGATAGCAGTTACCACAATTAAGCTAGTAAAATCCCAACATACAAAGGCATAGTACATCAAGTAACCAAACATTTATCAATTCTGTACATAATATGAAATATAACATATTTGCCTTTAAAATGTGTGCTAGTGATGTTTTTCATCAATAAATGTTAGGGAATTTTTCTGCATTTGGATTTTATTTGTATAATTAAAATACCCCCTTCCCTTTTCTTTTTCAGCCTCATTTTTGCAGCCTTGTAGGGTGCTGAGTCTTCTATTGACTAACTGGACATCTGACTAAGAGTCACTCAGCCATGTCTTTGGACCCTTGTGCTTTGATTGCTGATGTTTCTATCTGGAAAGAGACTCAAATTCTTGATACAGAAGGACATGCACAAAACAGAAATCAACTGCAGGATCTATCAAGGCTTTTCAGAATCTATAAATCCTTTGCTAGTTCAGGACCAGTTGACCAAGTATCCTGGCCTCCTCCTGTTCATGCTATAATCTAAATGTGAAAGCAGAATGCTTTTGTTATAAGGACTCATTTTAGTTACAGGAGGCCCTGAAAATAGCGTCAGTACATCCTGCACACTCTCCCTCGTTCCCATTGTGAAAGCATCTGCTGGTCTATTACCGTGAAGTATATATTTCCTACTGCTCAGCTCTCATGGCATATCTTGGCTGCAGAACCTACAGCTGAGAGTCACTAAGTCTTTGCTGTATTTGAAGTCTAGAAAATTTCTTCTGGATGTAGTACAGAATAGTGGCACTTTGTGATAAATCAGTGGAATCCCAAGATCTTATTAATATTACTGTTTATTCTCACAAGTTAACTATCTTAAGTGCTCACCAACATCTGTTGGGCTAGGTAAAAAGGTACACACACAAAAATTATTACACATGGTCCTTGACTTCTAAGGAGCTTAACATTTGAAATTTTATATCAGCGTGAATATAAAAATCAAGGCCTATGTAGAAAAGTAGATGGGTTACCCCTGTGAGTGTTGTAGTGCTTCAAGAACAACAAAGGTCACCTCATCCCACAGACACTGGACTTGCTTTTACTTCCCTCCCTCCCACACACACACACACACACACACACACACACAGTGACTAGCATGAATCTCTGCAGAACCAGCCATTCTTTACCCCACATCATCTAGAGTGTGAAATTTTTTACCTTTAATGTGCTATTCAAGGTTCGGATTTTGTGGAGTTTCTCATTTATGGATGGATTTTTACACCGCCTCACAAAGGACTTTCTCAACTCCTTTTTGGTTGAAGGTCGTCGGTCCCCAAGAGGAGATAGACTGGCTTGCTCTAATGATTTGTAGAGCTTCTCCATTTCATCATCTCCAGACACTTTTGTTTCTTCTATTAAAATAAACAAATAACAATAAATCCAGTTAAAATCAAGGTGAGAACACTGGACACTGTGGTCCTAAAACAGGGCCCTGCTGACACAATGATCTCAGTCTTCCAGCTTCCAGAACTGTGAAGCAATAAATTGTTGTCTAAGCCACTCAGTTTATGGTACTTTGTTTTGGCAAAGTCATGTTCCCTTTGAAGATGCTAGGGAAGGAAGGATCTGTTCCAGGCCTCTCTCTGTGCTTCTGTTGGTTCCTTGGCTTGCGGCAGAAAAACTCAGTCTTCACAGGGTGTTCTCCCTGTGTGTGTGCCTCTGAGTCCAAATGTGTCCCTTTTATAAGAACACCAGTCATATTGGACTAGGACCAGGGGTGGGCAAACTTTTTGACTCAAGGGCCACAATGGGTTCTTAAACTGGACCGGAGGGCCGGAACAAAAGCATGGATGGAGTGTTTGTGTGAACTAATATAAATTCAAAGTAAACATCATTACATAAAAGGGTACGGTCTTTTTTTTTTTTAGTTTTATTCATTTCAAACGGGCCGGATCCGGCCCGCGGGCCGTAGTTTGCTTACGGCTGGACTAGGACTAACCTTAGTGACCTCATCTTAACTAATTACATCTGCACCTATTTGATTTTTAATGAGGTCCCATCCTAAGGTACAGGGGGTCAGGACTTCACCAAAGGAATTTTGGAGGAACACAATCAAACCCATAATAATTCACCATCTAGCCAGCCAAAATTCATGTCCTTCTCTCATGCAAAACATACTCATACCATCCCAACATCCCCAAAGTCTTCACCCATTCCAACATCAATGCTAAGTTTAAAATCTAATCCAAATATCATCTATATCTGGTATTGGAGAGACCCAAGGAATGTTTCATCCTGTGGCAAAATTCCTCTCCATCTGTGAACCTATGAAACCAAAAGAGTTTTGTGCTTCAAAAATACAGTGATGGCACAGGCAAACCCTAGCAAACTAATACACACCCTCAGGCTTCAGAATCACTTTCCCAGATGACATTGAACTGCCATTGAAAGAAGAAACCAGCCTGTGGTCTGTGGCTTTGAGCAGATAATGGTTATCTTTTCTGCTTCCTCCACTCACGTTCCTAACCAAACCTTCCAGCCCCAGCCCAAATGATTCTAGTGAAGCAACTCTACCCGAGATGCAGGGGACCACTATGCTAGGTTAATCCAATGGCAGCTCCATCATTCTGGCCACAGTCATTGATTTAGGAATGAGCATGGGTTTCAGAGCAGGCCAGCTGGAGCCAGGGACCTCAATAACAATAAAACCAGTTAAAATCTTACCAAAAAAACTTTGGTTTGGGGTTATCATAGAATCAATCTCCCTTTTTTCCTAAACTGAGTGGTGTGATGATGTGAACTAGAAGATTCCAGGAATCATGAGAATGGAGCCAATCTACAGGACATGGCTGAGAAAGACATGCATTTAGTGGCACCATTGAAGCTCTCAGCTTACTGGAGCTTTCTTTCTCCCTCTCCCTTTCTCTCTGAAATCAATTTTTATATATAGAGCGGTAACATAAAAGGGGAGGTGGGGAGTGGATGGGTGGGTAGGGAGAGAGTAACCAAAGAACTTATATGCATAACCCATGGACACAGACAATAGCATGGTGAGAGAGAAACATCAATGGTGAAAGAGAATCATTCATTGTTCAGCTGCCTCCTGCATGCCTCACACTGGGGTTCGAGCCTGAAACTTGGGTACGTGCCCTGGGGGAGTGCAGGTGGAAGGGGTAAAAGGGAAAAATGGGGGACATCTGTAGTACTTTTAACAATAAAGATACATTTTTAAAGAGTGGTAACAAAAACTTGTACATGAATGTTCAAAGTAACACTATTCACAGAGACAAAACGTTGGAACAGCCTAAATGTTCATCACTTGATGAATGGATAAACAGTGTGTGAATTTTATGATGGGTGAAACATATCTAACATATCTCAATAAAGCTGTAAAGAAAGTAAACTTTTATGAGATCATCAAGACCACTGGCAACACCTTCACAGAAATACGAAGCATGCTAGCAGTCCTGCAGGTAAGCTGGAGACATGGAAAGTTATGAAAAAATTAAATACAATGACATCTGAGTCTTAGAGGGGACATTAGGGTTGGGACTCTCGCAGTTTTCAGACACACCAGAAAATGGTCATTTTATATAAAGGACAAGGCAAAAGTAGGCTTACAGTTGTTCCTATAGAGGACAATACAATAATCAATAAATAATACAAAAATAAACTCTGTTTTAAATACTCACAACCGTAAACCTACTTCTGAGAAACCCTGTGTTTTTTATAGCTAGTAGGCAGGTGGGACTCTACTTCTAATAAAGTCTAAATACATAGCCTTCAGGACCACAGTATTTTTAAAATAAGTAATACATATTTAATAAACTTCAAGAAGCAAATCAAGCAAACATATAGCAAAGATACACAGTGTGGTTTCTTTAAGTTTCTCTCTGTTCACTAAGCTGGTAAGTTATTCTATTAAAATGTATGACAGAAAAGAAAATTACTCTTGACTAATACATTAGTTTGTAATTATGTCAGTTTTAGTAAAGTGATTATAGTAAGATTATGTATCTAATTCAACAGGTATTAAATTGGTAAAGATAAAAATAATTAGAATCTTAGAATAATGTGACATAAAATACATTCCATAAATGAAAAAAGGACTGCTTTTGGATAATTTTATTATTGTTTAACATACTTATATGGGTATATATTATCTTTATGTCAAAATATCAGAGGTATCTCTCTTCTACACACACATATTTCTTTCCCTCACTTCCACTTTGGAACATTAGCAATGAGAGTATATGTAGGTGTGTGTGTGTGTGTGTGTGTGTGTGAAACTTTAAAATTAACACACAGTTGAAGTGGACCTATTAAGATTACTGAAAGTTAATACAGAATCCACCTAAAATATGAACAAATAATATTCTCTTTTTGGATCCATTTTGAAATTGCAGATAATAGTGAGATAAGGTTAAAGCTCTTGGAGAAATAAGGAGGAAAATGAAAGGCAAGTTATTGCATTATTCTTACTTCTCAGCCATCCTCTCTCTGTAGCAGAAACCTTAAACTGAAAGCCTGTGTCTAACTTCTAATAACCTGACCCCAGAAGAACCCACAAGCGTGAGGACAATAAAATAAAAAATGGTGATGCGAGTCGTCAAATAAAAATATCCTTACTGGCTCTTTTGTGTCGTAATCTGAGAGGCGTACAATGTATTGCTAGATACTCAGGATCTAACCATGCCCACACCTAGACAAGGACTTTATATTGTTTTCACTGCTGCTAGTGGCTGGTGCTTAGGTCTTCACAGGGCCATTAAATGAGCATTCGGTAATAACAGAAACAGATGATAAATAGAATCATAGGGGAACAAAAGGATATAAGCACACAATGAAACAGAGCTTGCACCTGAGCCCAAAGCAGAGGTGAGTCCTTTCCCAGTTGCTATATGGAAGATTAGCACTGGCCTGTTAGTCCACAGGACTACTCCTGTACCTTTAAGGGGCTTCTCTGTAAAGTAATATTGTAAAAAGCTCTCTTTCACATTCTTATGTCAATATTTTTCTAAATTATAATTACATATCAGGAAGCACAAGATTATTTCTCCTATTTTACCAGATTGTAAAAAGAGCAAGAAAAAAGATGGGCAGGAAAGACCACTGCTCTCTCTCTCTCTCTCTCCCATTGGAAACAGAAGCCAGGTTAATTATTTCCACTTCCCTTGGCTTCTGATAAGAAATAAACGAATTCTGTCCGACAGCCAAGTGTTTCCAATGCAATTGTTATCCTTCCTCTCCAGAGTATATTTTAGTCTTCTTCCGTAAATTAACAAGATTTTAATTCCCTTCTCCACATAAGGCACTTCATAGTCTATCTCATCTTTGCCAAGAAACGTGAAAACTATTTTTATGTTATGGATGCGAAAAAATAGAGATTCTTGAAACACAGTAAGTAACCTTTCCCAAATGTAAATCCATGATGGAAGCAAGAATAAAAGTTCAATCCCACAAGGTGCTTCTAGACCAGTCTTCTCAAACTTTCACAGGCAAAAGTCACCTAGAGATTGTGTTACAATGCATGTTCTGATTAAGTCAGGCCGGGATGGTGCTGAGACCCTAAATGTTTACCAAGCCCCCAGGCAATGCCAGCGCTGCTGGCCCATGGACCACACTTCCGAGTAACAAGGCTAGACTGTGTCACCAATATGTCAGGATTGCGTCACCAGCCTCAACTATGGAGTCACAGTGAGAAAGGTGGGGCTTGTCTATTTGCTCTGAGCCGCATCCTAATGAAAACATATATATATATTTACAGCTTTGTTCATAGGAGTATGTCCAGAACCCCTGCTCCAAAGCATGGTATCTCATATGTTGAGTTGGCACGATTTTGAGGGGAATGTTGGTGACACTTTACATCTGTTAGATCAGCTCAGCTCGCCTCGAGGGGGCAGACTAGTCAACTTTCTCCAAACTTAGGTCAGTAATCGAATAATTTAGACTCAGGAAAGACATGGTATTTTTTGTTAACACAGTCCTTCTTGGTGACATTAGTAAATTAGACATAACAACGTTTTTAACTAATGGTTAGAAGTTCACTCCTTTCCAAGATGATGTCAAATGAATGTGCCCCTCCCTTGCCTTCCTCCCATGTAGTCTAGCCTATCGTCTGCTGCAGATGGGCCGGGGTGCTCCTGGAGGCCAAGAATTCACTGTCAGCAGATCCTCTCTTTAAAAGCTGTATTTTCAACTTTGCCTCCCCACTGTTTTATTTTTAGTGTTTCCTCATGCTTTCTAGAATGTGGTTTTTATTTTCTTCCTAGAACATAAATTCTGGCTTCAGAAGACAAGGGGAATTCATATGCCATATTTCATATTAGAATTTGAAAGGGAACCTTCGGAGATTAAAAAAGGCTAAACAATGCTCCAAAGTAGACAATGTTAGTTACCAAACATGAAACAC